AAGAGACAGAAAAGCGGGACTGGGAGTGAACCTCAATAGATGGCCCTCAATGCTGATCTTTAATGCTGTCTTTCAGCATTAAACTTAGAGGAACTCAAGAACTCAGAATAACAGGGTACCTAATGCAGCAGTTTGCTTGTTTGTGGCTCTGCAGCATGAATAAGATGCTGTGATTCATTAACCACAACTTGTAACTCTGCATTGTGAGAACTGAGGTAATTGTGACTTAATCAAATAAGCAAACAAAACATGGTTTAAAATGGACTGTGACTGCAGTCACTAACTTACATTGAATAATAATAATTCTAATAATAAGGATGCATGGAAGATTTACATATAACCTTAGTGATATGCGAGTAACTTTGGAAATGGAAATTTCAATCTGTCAAGATTCATGGCATGAGATTTCAACTGCTACAGAAGCTTGAGAGCTTCATTTTTCAAAAAAGCAAATTTAATTTTTTTGCTACATGGGAATTATTTTGATAACACAGGTTTCCACATATATTTACTCAAAACACTCGGTTCTCCTAACGCTAAAGTAATTTTCTGTTGAACAAGAATTCCTGAATTTTTTAAACATGTGACTCACATGTTACTATAAGTCTAAGAAGTAAAAGTGATTTGTAATATTTGGTAGCATTCAAACTCTAGCTTTCAAAAATTACAGCATTTTAAAAATGTTAAAAATAGCTGTTTAAAATCAGAAATTTTATCTGTTGTAAATTTGTTCCAGACTGGTATTGGACATGCATACAATAAATTTAGAATGAAAGCAAATAAAGTACAATTATTAACACTTGTATTGACTTTAATCACTTATCAGAAGAAAAACAGAATACAAGTAGTCCTTGACTTACAACCATTTGTTTAGTGACTGTTTGAGTTATAACTACTGAAAAAAGTGACCTACCGTCGATTTTCCAACTCACATGATCAAAATTCGGGCATTGGCAACTGGTACGTATTTATGACAGTTGCAGTGTCCCGGGGACATGAGATCACCATTTGTAATCTTCCCAGTTGGCTTCTGACAGGGAAAGGCAATAGGAAAATCAGATTCAATTAATGACTGTATCATTCACTTAACAGTGCAATGATTCACTTAACAACTGCAAAACAATTGTTGTAAAATGGGACAAAACCCACTTACCGTATATGCAGGCGTATTAGGTGACCCGGCGTATAAGACGACCCCGTCTTTATCGCCGAGTTGCCTTCCTAGAACGTCGTCTTATACGCAGGAAACTACCAGTATTTCCGGCGTATAAGACGACTTGGCGTATAAGACGACCCCCGACTTTGGCGCTGAGTTTAGCGCTTCTGGAAGTCGTCTTGCTTAGGAACAGAAATGTTGGGTTCAGTTGTTGTCATAAAACAAGGATTACCTGTAGGGTTTTTAAGGGGAAAGTATTTGATATAAAGACAGCAATCAGAAGCAGTTTTAATATGCATAAATAATTTGATGTAATCATCATAAACAATGGGAGGGAAATTTTGAAGGCAAAACTGTCAAAGTTTTTCTCTTGAATATATCCGCTTTACTGCATTCCAAACGCAGAATGATTTTCAGGTGCAACCATATTTCTCATATTTGCTTTATTTCCCCGATAGCAATTATCTGGATTAACAACTGATACTCTGATCTGCTGGAATTTATCCCAGAATAAAATCCAGTCCTAATCTAATACTGTATAATTACAGATACTAGTTCTCTAGCACCACTTTACCCACTGAATATTTTGTAAACAGCAGAGTACTAATCCTGCAGGGAAAAAAAAATCATATTATCTCAGACTATCACACATTAACTACCTTAGACTTAAATCAACTCACACACTTAACAGCCAAAGAGTAAATATGTATTAATCTAACAGTATACATACACTTTAGTCAGATACTGTCCAATACACAAAGTTATACCAGTAATTGTAGCTGTAGCAGAGTGGTTTAAGTATATTAACCAATATTAATACTTAAGCTATGACATCATGAATATGATCTGCTATAGGCAAGACACGGTTAAACTTGATCAAATACACGAAGACTCAAGTTTTCATTTGTTCAGGATGTGATTTAAATCCTTTGCTCACTCAAAAAGCAAGCATGCAGTATAAAGATGCTTATAAATCAAACTTCATTACTAGACACCAAACTGCTTGTTATTCATGTAGAACTGATATCTAAGATTGTCTACTATAAGGTGATATACACAATGGATGTCTTTGAAGAGAACTCCAAACTTCAGCTTGTGACTTCTAGAGTCAATTCACAGTTCAAATTATTTTCACAATTTTAATTGGGGTGACAATGGTTACCTGAAAAAGCAACTTTCTAACACTTACAATCTCCGGAAATGAACTCAACCAGATATGGGTGGAATAAATCTGGGAGTCCTTATCTTTTAAATTTCAGCAAGCCCATTGAAGAAGAAAGTACATATATATAGAAGATTTGGGGGAGGGGTGTTTACCCATCTCCAAGTATTTCAGTACATGTTTGCATTAATTTTAATATTAAAATTTTCCTCTTTTAGGTGTTGGTTTTATTCCTGTTTTTATCTTAAACTTTATTTGTGGGTTTTCTTTTGAAAACAACTATGGAAGCCTGAACTACTTCTAAAATATGATTTCCAGAATATTAAGCAATGAAGATTATTTTAAAATGATTATTCACTGGTAACAATTTAAAAAACTATCTTCTAAATCATAAATGATTTAAGATCCAAACAGTTCTCCATATAAGTCAGTCCAAAACTTTTACTTTTTTAAAAAAAGAATTAAGTAAAAAGAAATGCCTTTGGTTCTTTTTTGGTTCCAAGTTGTTTTTCTCTATTTCAATACTTTAAATGCTCTAGCTTATTTTACTTACATTTTAAATGGATGTTTTGCTGAATATTAACAATACAGCAAAACTCTATATTAAAAATATAAAAATTTACTATTGCTATAGCTTTTAAAATGTTGTGATTGATTGATTGATATGCCATTCTGGAATCCATTGACTAAAAAGAGCATATAATTTTTCACTAACATAAATGTGTAAACATCACATGCTTGCGGATCTTTTTTTCCAATTTACACAGTTGAGTGGGAGTAGTTTACATGTAGCTCCAAATAACCTCTCACCCAGGCCCAACCAATACAGTTCAGCCCCATCAATGTTACACTCTTAGTTTATCTTGAATTGAGGCATAGGCCTAGATGCAGTCCTGTGAACATTTTCTGGCAGTAAATCCTTATGAATGTAACAAGTCTGATTTGGCTCTTCCATGTACAGTAATCTCCAACAAAATCTGATGTCAAAAATTCCTGTCTAGTATCATTCTAGAGCATACACTTTCCCTTTCCTTTATTGTGGTGCCAACACACTTGAGGTGCCAACACACTTATGCTTCCAGGTTTCTTTGTGTCACCTCTCAAGACTTGCACCACCCAAAAGCAATTTACTTCCTCACAATCTACCAGGGGAACCAGTTTAAGTTTCCAGACTTTGTCAACTTCAGAACAGCATTTCCCCAACTCCCTCCCTTCTAACCAAGTTTTCCCAGCCTTTTCATTGAAGACTAATTGAACTGAATCCAATAAGCCCTCTTATCTGCCTTTTTCATTCTGCTTCAGGCCAAGCTGAAGGGGGAAAAACAGCAAAAAAGCAGAACTCTCAGGGAAAAGTAAATAAGGCCTACGGCTAGACTGATTAGTTAAATGTTACCAGTGTGTCATTTTGATTTTTAAAGATGCAAACCCAGTGATATTTAGGAATCCACAACCCTATCTCGCTACCCAAAGTGTTACCCTAAAAGCTTTCTCCCAGATCTTTGCAGACTCTCCCGCCCTCTGGGACAACAGGGAAGCTAACAAGTAAACAAGTTTGAAATCCTGGTTTGCTCCGATTGAAACCTCCACTTCCAATGTCGCTCAATGCAAGAAGGGAAGACGCGGAGGACCGTTCGGATGCTTACCGCAGCATAAAGAAGGGGCGAGGAAGCGGGAAAAGCTGAGGGAATCCTAAAGACGAACCGAGGCGGCAAAATAGACCAAACTCCTGACGCCCTTCCCAACCCTTGAATTTTCCCGCCGGCGCTTTAGCTAAGTGTTCAGCTATCACTCGAGGGGCTGCAACGCCACTGCCGGGCAGGCTTGCTCAGGGCACGTGCAGAGTATTTTCGCCTTGCCAGCGGTGCACGATTGACTCCATACGGCTCGACGTTTGGGGGAAAGGAGCCTTTCAAGGCAAAAGGCGCGGAGGGCAGGCCTGTTTGGGGATACGGAAACCTCGCTCGTTGCAAGCCACGGCTATCGGATTCGGCCAACAAGTTCCGGAGGGGGAAATCAGGGAATCCAAAAAGATTGGAGCCTTCTGCAGCATCCCGGGGTGTTTTAGTGTAGGAAAACAAAAACAAAAAAACCCGCCTTGGTTACAAAGCAGGGAGGAAGGCACAAACCACGATCAAATGCAGGCCCTAAATGCTATACCAGTTAATCCCTGTTTGGGACGGGTAATTTGCAATCTCCCTTCCCTCGGCTGCAAAGAAAACTATCTGCATGCGTTCAGAGATTTTCTATCTTTCTCACGTGCGCTTGACACTCCCGACCCTTCCTAGCATCCTAGGGAAACCTGAATCCAGCCTCCAAGTACCTTGGGCTCCAGAACTGGCCAGTTTTAGCAAACACGCAACTCACTCGCGCTCCCACACACACCTCTGCGCGCAACACGTTTATCTAGCGTTCAGTCGCTCGAAGGCCAACCGGGCAGTGCCCGTCGAGCGCAGCCAACATGAAAAGTCTCCTTCCCCCCCCCCCTGCCCCGCAGAAACGAATCCCTCTGATTGCACCCTCGGACGAGCCGCCCGAACTCCGAGCGGGAAGAAGGGCAGGGAAGCCCGGGCCGCTCTCAGCCCAGCAGAAGCGAGCCAGAAAGCGGAGCCTTCTCAGCCGAGGCATCTTCAACTGCGGGAACAGGAGGCGGACGGCAGGCTGGGCGGACTGGACTTGGCTTACCTGGCGCGGCGGGTTCGGCCAGGCTCCGGGTGTGCAGCCACAGGAGCAGCTGGAGCAGGAAAGTGCTCCTTTTCCAGCTGCCCGGACAGAGCCGACGCTGCATTCCTGAGCCGGCTCCTAGTCCCTCCTCGCTACTCCAACATCCAGGAATCCCGAGCCCGCTGGCCTGGAACGGGCTTTTGCTTGCCCGTCTTCTCCCTCTTCTCCGCGCCGCTCTGTCCAAGGGCGGGCTGTGAAACTCTCCTCTGGGCGGGCGGGAGGCTGCCTTCGCTGGCCTCCCTCGCTCCTCAGCCTCCTGGCTTGTCACTTTCTCGTAGCTCCAGACCGCCCCATCCCGAGCCAAGGCAGCCCCCGCCGCCTGGAAGGGGCTGGCCAGTCCGCCCTGATCGACCCTCCCGCGCCCCCTGCTGGACCAGCCTGGACGCGCTTCGCTACCTGGAACCGCGGCGGCGCCTCTCAAAGCCAACTCTCCGCTTAATTAGACGCACTTTGAGTTTTATTTCACGCGTGTTGGAAACTATCCACTGAGCCGCAAAAAAAAAAAAAGCCTCCCCATCTTGCTATCTCCGTGGCTGGGAAACGTTTTCTAGAAATATCGATGGTGGAACTGTAGTTGCTGCGTGCCAAGGCATTTAACTTTTTTTAAAACGAATTTAAAAAAAAATAGAAGAAAAAAAAACTTATGGCGGTTGACATAAGGATTAGTTTCAGTGAGAGACGGATGAAGAAAGAGATGCTAAGGGAAAATCTACATTGAAAAAGCTACCCTGTTGCCAGCTTGAACAAAAGCTATTTAGGGGCTTGGTGGATTTCTGCCTTTGGCTTTTTTCCACTTCTGAGCCCATTTGTGGAGAACGGGGGTTGTTAAATGATGGCTTGATTTTAAATATTATGTTTAGCTTAATAGCATACATAAGAATGTGGAAAATGCATTTCAAAAGAATTAACAGATTGTTGTTGTTGTTAATTGCGAAGTCGTGTCCGACCCATCGCGACCCCATGGACAACGTTCCTCCAGGTCTTCCTGTCCTCTACCATCTTCTGGAGTCCATTTAAATTCACACCTACTGCTTCAGTGACTCCATCCAGCCATCTCATTCTCTGTCGTCCCCTTCTTCTATTGCCCTCAATCTTTCCCAGCATTAGGCTCTTCTCCAGTGAATCCTTCCTTCTCATTAGGTGGACAAAGTACTTGAGTTTCAACTTCAGGATCTGGCCTTCTAAAGAGCAGTCGGGGTTGATCTCTTCTAGGACTGACCGGTTTGAACGCCTTGCAGTCCAAGGGACTCGCAGGAGTCTTCTCCAGCACCATAGTTCAAAGGCCTCAATTCTTTGGCGCTCAGCCTTTCTTATGGTCCATCTTTCACAGCCATACATTGCAACTGGGAAAACCGTGGCCTGGACTATACACACTTTTGTTGGCAGGGTGATGTCTCTGCTTTTTAGTATGCTGTCTAGATTTGCCATAGCTTTCCTCCACAGGAGCAAGCGTCTTTTAATTTCTTGGCTGCAGTCCCCATCTGAGGTGATCTTGGAGCCCAGAAAAATAAAATCTGTCACTACCTCCATTTCTTCCCCATCTATTTGCCAGGAATTGAGAGGGCCGGATGCCATGATTTTGGTTTTCTTAATGTTGAGTTTCAAGCCAACTTTTGCACTCTCCTTATTCACCCGCATCAAGAGGCTCTTTAGTTCCTCTTCACTTTCTGCCATTAGAGTGGTATCATCTGCATATCTTAGGTTGTTGATATTTCTCCCGGCAATCTTAATTCCAACTTTTGATTCATCTAGCCATGCCTTTCTCATGATGTGCTCTGCATATAAGTTAAATAGGCAGGGTGACAGTATACAGCCTTGCCGGACTCCTTTTCCAATTTTGAACCAATCAGTGGTTCCGTGTTCGGTTCTCACTGTTGCTTCTTGACACGCATATAGGTTTCTCAGGAGACAAATGAGATGGTCTGGTACTCCCATCTCTTTAAGAACTTGCCACAATTTGTTGTGATCCACACAATCAAAGGCTTTTGCATAGTCAATGAAGCAGAAGTAGATGTTTTCTGGAACTCCCTAGCTTTCTCCATGATCCAGCGTATGTTGGCAATTTGATCTCTAGTTCCTCTGCCTCTTCGAAATCCTGCCTGTACTTCTGGTAGTTCTCGATCCACATACTGCTGGAGTTTAGCTTGTAGGATTTTAAGCATAACTTTACTAGCATGTGAAATGAGTGCAATGGTGCGATAGTTTGAACATCCTTTGGCATTGCCTTTCTTTGGAATTAGCCTGTTGGAAAATACCGAAACATAAATTGTGAAATAAATGTTCCACATTACAGAAAAGCAAAAGTAATGTCACATTTTATATTTAAAATCAGAAGCTGGTGAGGGATGGATTATTGCTTGGTTTCATTTCCACTAAAATGCAGGAAAAAATGTCCTGGAATATTTTCATGGAGACAGAGTGTTAGAAATCTGGGGCAATTTAAAAAATTTACAGGACCTGAATTTTACTGTATTTCAAATATTTAAAAATTTGTGTTTGTATTCAAAGCCCTTGGTATAGTGTCTAGCTATACTCACAAACCATGTTATTCTAAAGTAGACTGGTTCACATAATTCTATGAACTATTATGGTTTGTTGGATTTTGTATATATCTAATGTATGACATAGAATATATCGGTATCTAATGTATTCTGTAGTGCCAAGATGTTAATTACAGTGAAAATAATCCTTTATTATAGAGCTGTCCTTTAGATTTATTTTTTAAAATTTTACTTTTAATTTTAGATATTTTAGAATATGCATTTTTGGAAAGTTTTTCTTAGTTTTGCTCTTGATATTTCTATTGAACAGCAAAGTTATAAACATAAACAGTTAATTTTTTTATCTGGATGAATCTCTTTCAGATTTGTCTGTTTTTCAAGTTGTCCTTTCTTTTTCCCTAGAAACTTTGGTCACAGAAGATTTAATACTATATTTTACTGATAGTCACACAGGGTAGAAAATCTACATCACATGGTTTAATGTAAACTCTGACTTAATTTGAGGCTGACTTTCACCTCCTTTCAAATTCTACCCCATTTGCAAAATCCTCCTACTTTGCAGATGGATTTGTGAATTATTAAAGGCTATACCATTACAACACACAAGCTCTGACCTTTATGCTTATGTGTTGTGGCATTGTGTGCATGTACAGATGGGTTGACTTGCATCAAGGCAGTACAATGGTCCTTTCATTGTTTCAATGAAAACCTTCAGTCCTGTGAACACTTCAAATCAGATATTTAGAGTATGGTTTCTAAGGGGAAAAACACAAAATAGATGAAAGGATTCAAGTAGAAATCAGAAACAATTCCTAAGGCATACAAATATTTGAATGATCAGTTGAGGGTACAATAGAAAGGGAAGAGTATACAGATAGTCCTGACTTATTGACTGCTGTTGGGACCAGCAACTCTGTTGCTAAGCTACATGAATGTAAAGTGAAATGTCTCATGACTGCACTGGACTGCTGCTGTGGTTATTAAGTGAATGAATATGAGTCATTAAGCGAGATGCGAATGACCACAACTTGCAACTTCCTCCGGCTTAGGAAACAGGCTCTGAAGGTTGCAAATGGCGACCATGTGACTGTGGGACGCAGTGGCTGTTGTAAATGAGCTCCAGCTGTGAAGCACCTAAATCACAATCACATAACCATGGGATGCTGCAATGGACACAGATTCAAGGACCAGTTATAAACATACTTTTTCAGCACCATTATAACTTCAAACTGTTGCTAAACAAGGCAGTTGGTAAGCAAGGACTACCTGTTATTTGTAATCAAGTTGTTTCCTAATATTGTAATGGTTTTATCGATTCTTTTCTTTTGTATATCAATAGCCGCCTTTTTCTTTTTTCTGTGTGATTATTTGTATTTAATTTCTAAATCATAATAAAAATGGAAATGAAAAAAAATCCTGGGAATACCCGTGTCACTTGCTTAGATGTTGTATTCAGTTTATGTTTAATAAATATAACTTTTTAGATTTATTCACCTTCATCGGTTTGGAAGCATGTGCATAAAGCTGATGTCTAAAGACATTTCTACCACTGGATGAGTTAACTAAAATTTGAGTAAGGGGCAAGGAATTATTCACTTTTAAGGTCTAATTTGCACAGATACCTTCCTGAGGACAGAAGCAGGTAAGTTTATGAATTATATCGTTAAATAAAACAAGATTGTGAAACCATGGTGAAATTGTGAACGCACCTACTTGCCATGAGGTTAAGAATGATACATACACAACTTAGTGCTACTTTTATAATCATTTACTTTCAGCTGCCTTTTTTTTTGAAAAACATTATGAAAATAAATACTATCAATTAGTTAAATTTAATAAAGAACTCCAGTCTTGATGACAACTTTGTTGAAAAAGTTTATATAAAATCAGTATGAGAAATTCACCAGTTCTGTTAGAAGAAATAAAATAATTTATAGTAATAAAACATAAAAATATTATTTTTAGCTCCCCATCTGTCCAACTGCCCACAATTAGCAAATACAATTTCTTCCTGGCCTAGAGACTGTTCTGCAGAGCACATCAATGAAAGTTAAAACACATGCTTGGAGAATGCATCTGCTTTTAATCTGCAGCATTCTGAAGTCAACACAAATATTTTTGCTATTTTTCCCTTTAACTTGCAACAGTTGCAAGATTGTGGCATGCTATAATGGAAAAGCTGAAAATAAAAGACACTCGAAAATTAGGAAAAAAGTAAAACAAATGCTTTAATTAAAAAAAATAAAATATCTGTTTTTAAAGAAGATTTAACTCAGTATGGATGAAGAGTAACCAAGATTAAGAGTAACCAAGATTAAGACAAAGGTAGACCCCAAGAGGGTGATTAGATTTTTGACTGTATTCTCCTTCTCTTATGTTGATGTGATAAAACTCTCAGAAACTATGTCTACTTGAGCATTTCAACATGTGAAATAAAAGCAATAATAACAATGTCTTTATGCCAATATCAAGAAGATTAAATTTGTACGTATTATAGACAACTCCTTATTTAATGTAAAGATAACCATGAAGCATAATTTGTTGCAGCAGATATAAAGATATCAAAGCAAAATGTTCGAATTAGGTTCGGATCCAGGGCACGTTTTTTGGGCTGTGTGGTTTTTGGTACACAACCACATTGCATGACTGCTTATATTTTCCTTCCAAAATATGCGGCCCACTTCGTATTTTTCCATTATACCATTAAATGCTATATTTTACTGACACATTTTGAACATATGGAAAGACTAGTCGACATTCTCAGTCAAGTACCCTTTGGGATAAAATAGAAGGAAAAAGAAAAACCACGGATACATCAAAGCTGGGGAGCATTTTTTAAAGGTGGTCCCTGTCTGTTCCCTCATGGTGAATGTTCAACTATACTTTTTTTTTAAGGTCAGTTTATCCCAACTTTCTACATATTCATTATTCAGTGCTTCATAATGCCCATTCATGAAGATAATAGATACACTATTCCCATACTTCTCTTTAGTACTGTAACATTTACTACCTTTGTACACAATGGGATTGGAGAGGTGGGATCATGTAAGTGATAACTAATAAAGCAATTTGCATACTACATATTCATGTCATTTGTATGATGGTATCATGGTCCATGAAGCATTATACTGGCTTGCAACGAATGCCCATGATTTCTGTTATTTTGATTGTTGATGCGTCTAAAATTAACTAGTTCACCACATTTTCCTTTTTTCTTTGATGAAGTCCATTGTGTATTTGTCCTCAATATATGAAGCCTGTTACCACATTTATGACATTTAATATTCTTGAATAACGTGATAAAAATTGATCATCCTACAAGAGGGTGGCTGATTCAAGGTCACC